TTCTATATCAATTAATTTCACGGGCGGATCTACGGGGGAGGGAGAGCTTTCGGGCTGAACCCCTCCCCCAAATGTTAAAATATAACCATGTTTTATCGAAAAAAATGATCCCTCAAAGTATTATTGTTCGTGTAATTAAATTTGAAAGGGCTTTAGGAATCACTTAAACACCATGTCATATAGGTAGTTAGTTTCTTTCTTTTTTTCCAAAGTAATGATCATTATTTTTATGAAAAATAATCTTTCGGGCTGAAGCCCCCCCCAAAATTTAAATCCTGAATCCGCTAGTGATTTATTTATTTAAACTTTTCGAACTCTAAGGAAAAAAAAATTAGTAGTTTAGAATAAAATTTATTTTACAGAGATTGTCTAATGACTAATGACTAATATGATAATTTATCTTAAATATGATATGTGTATATAGGTATGCAAGTGTTTTTTGCTTTTTTTTAATTTTCTTATTTTTAAATTATTTTATTTCATTTATTGTATATACTTTTATTATTATTATTTTGCTTCTATTTACTTTATATTATTTTGTATATCTAGTGTGAATGTTATCCTACCTGACTACAACTAATGTCCACGTGATTGTTTTTTTAAAGTCAGCCCAAGACTCCCTCTGAAGTCCTATACTGCCCCAAGTGATTGTTGTAATACTCAATAAAAAAATAAAATAAATAAATAATACATTATTTAAGATAAAATATATGATTTAGTAGAATGTACAAGTTTATTTTTTTCATAACAATTTATTGAAACGAAGAACAAACAAATAAGTATATATAAAAATAAAAAAGAGCTTTTCTACTGTTATAACTGTTACATTATATGAATCTGTTGAGGTAAAGGTCTCCAAGTTTGGAAATCGTAGTAACAAATGACAAATCGTTATAACCTTCACTCAATCGATAATCACCTCTCGAGCTATTTCACTTCAAACTTTTACAATTATTTTTGCAATCGATTGAGGTATTCTGCAAAAGTGAAAAGTAATAGTGGCTTTGCCAACTTATTTAACCTATTTTATTAAAATGTTGAACCTTTTAGTCTCAACTTCAGAACGTTGATTAATGCTATAGTTAAATCCTTACACATTATTATAGCATTTAAAAAAATATATATTATTAGTAAAACAATTCTCTTTGCTTCTTCTAACCGAGTAATCGGGTGAAAAAAAAACTTAGTTGCAATCTTACTTATTTGGCATGATTTTGTGTTCCTTCTTCAAAATATGATTCATAAAAGAGATGACCTATCGGACATGTACCAACAATGTATTAAAAGTCCAACGACAAGCAAGTACGGAAGTTTTTTTATTTCTTTAATTGAAATATACCACTTTAATCTATGAATATAAATATTGTTTTAATATATCGTTCCTTTATATTATTAATCTTTAGCGAAGTAAATATTGAAATATCAATAAAAATATCCTCCCTGTATTTGATCTTAAAAATGAGAGAAAGAGGAATGACATTGAAATATAAGATTTGTAATTATTAGATGACTTTTATGTAAATACACACACACACACACACAATATATATATATATATATATATATATATATATAAGATAAAGACCGGAGACTGACGATATCAGCCTTAACTTATATATATACACATATTCTTTTTTTATTTATTCATTTTAATTTACTTTTGTTATCTACTAATATTGTTGACTTTTATTTGTGAAGGCATATGTCATGTTACTTTTTTTATTAACTTTCTTTATAACTACTTATTATTATTTATATATTCGTTTGTTCATTTTTGCATTTTTTTGTTTTTGTCTTATCTATTTATTCATTTTTATTATTACTTATTATTTTTTAAGGGAGCGGGGTAGCTCAGTGGGTGAGCGCTGACTTCCAGACCTCAAGGTCCCAGGTTCGAATCCAGCTGATGACGAGTAAGTTTTCATTAGTTATGGGTTGACTCTGGAACCGGGAGACCCTCCTGGGGCAAATACAGCCTCTATAAAGTGGATACTCTTAATTAAATAATAAATTAAGGGGAAAAACCTGGTGGTTGAGCGTCATTGGCTCGTCATATTAAGGAAACTGATAAATCGGTTTAGATCCATGGATTATGACTGCTCGGAGTCAGCAGGCGCACGAGGAGCTATATTTCTTTCCCTGAAACAGACTGTCTATGGACCGAACCTCGGGGGGGGGAGGCTACTAAGATCCTGGTAGACCACATCCCGATTCCCGATTAAGTACACGGGGTAGGGTCATCAGTCCTACGCCCGGTCGGTGTGAGTTGCCTCCAGTAGGCTGACGGGTCTCACATACCCGGGGAAGGGAGGAGTGACTCGGGCAGCATGGCTTTCCCTGGTGGATGATCACCCGGATTGGGCGGTCACCCATCCATGTACTTACTACGCTCGACGTTGTTTAACTTTGATTACCTATTGCAAGCGCCTTAGCCCGTACGGCTACACCGACCCCATTCTTAATTATATATATATATATATATATATATATATATATATATATATATATATATATATATATATATACAGGTTGTCTCAGTGCTTAATGATCTAACACTGAGTTGTGATTCTAGACAAAATTAAAAAAAAAAATACCACTTGATGCTTGGGCCGATTTCTAACAGAAAAGGAGTTAGACCCAATTTTTTTTTAAGATGGTACCGGTTTTTATTGAACTGGAAGATTTGTTCCAGATAATTAAATTCTAAGGACAACAGTGATTAAATTTACAAAGGTCAAAGCTAAAAGGGACTTTCAGGAGGTCAAATACGCCCGTTGTACTGCTGAAGTTACAGTACCCATACCCGAGCAGCATATCTCTGTAATCCCGATTCGTGAAATAATTCGGCATAACGTTAGCTTTGCGTTGTTAGACACAAAATACCTTTATCATTAACATTAGCAAGTTAATCACTGTATTCTTAAAGAAAATTTTATCTATTTTACGATGGTGTGCTTAGAGTGTAATTATCTTGAACAGTTTTTCAGCAATTCCTTCTTAAAAACCGTGACCATCTAAAATATATATAATTTTAACTCCTTTTCCGAACGGAACCGACCCATTCATCAAATGATTCGAAATGGATTACATGGACCCAATTGAATATACCATTAAAATTTATTCGCCTTTTTCAAATTCAAACAATTTTAGCAGATGGTCAAAATCCGTAAAAAAAATTAGAAATGCCATTCTCTTTCGATCCTTGAATAGGTTCCATAAACATTTTGCCTTTTCTAAGATTAGCTTTTTACTTTTGAGACTGGAAAAATCATAGAAACTTCAAGTGCGCTTTCTCTCCACAGTGAGCTAGTACGTTGTCAAAATGAATAAAAACTATATGTGGCATGATTCCAGAATGCTGAAATGTAGTAATATCAAAGAGTCTGACAAAATTAATCCAAGAGTATAATAGTCGTAGTAGAATTTGTTTTTACAAATATATGCTCCTATATACTATATATTTATTATATTATATGTATGCACGCACCCACGCACATACACACTGTTCGGTTTTAATAGGATTTAAATCTGTTATGAAATGGGAACTGAATAGACCAAAAGGAATTCCATCCAAGACTTTTCGGTTTGCTAACCGGAGTTTGAGAATTGCGCAAGTTGTCTGAATGCACTTGGTAATGAAGCTTTCATCTAATTTAAGCATAACCAGTTACGGACCAAACTGACCCATTTTATATTGCCAATAGTAATTTCAGACCATTTTAATTACTGTAATAATGCAATTTCAATTATCTTTTTAATTAGTGTAGTACTTCGTCTTAAATTGCCTCTTTAATTAATGTAGTACTATATCTGTTGAATCCTAAGAAGAACAAAATGATAAATTTTTTTATCAAATGAAAGCCACACACTTTTATCTGGTTAAGAACCAATGGAAGATTGTTTTATATTGTTAGGGTCATTTTATGTCAAATCAACCAGGGCCTGGCCCAGAGAGTCTTGGATTTTGATAAATTTTTGGACATTTGTTGAATGCATTCATATAAAGAAAACTACGGAATTTTAGATTTTCTGGATTTACGATTTTGTATTTATAATAATAAAAAAAGCTCAAAAAAACGTTGCGTTTTTTTAATAGGTTTTGGGTTGTTTCTCAATTTGACCTACAATAGAAAGCTGAAAACGATGTCAAATGTTTCGGTTGCTTATGATCTTTCTTTTGATATACGATATGAGTATATGCATACATTTAAATTAAAAATTTCTATATATTAATATTAGCGGACCTTGAAAGCTTTTTTAGTGTACCCACTGTAGGTCAACATTTTTTATCTTGTGTACCCATTGTTCTCCACTTTCAAATTTAGCATACCTTTAGCTACCATATGTTAGAATAACATATATTTTTTAAATAAAAATCAAAAGAGGGAGTTTTTCAAAATTCAAAAATAAAGGTTTTGGTCTTCTCGAAAAATTATATTTTTAGAATATACTCAAAAGAAAGAGCATAAACAACCGAAAAATATGACATCGGTTACAGCTTTCTAGATCAAATAGTTCTTGAGAAATAAATCAAAACTATTTTTAAATACGCACCTTTTTTTAGATTTTTATTATTTAAAGAATTATAACAAAAAACCGTGAGTCCAAAAAATCTAAAATTTTGTATTTTTCTTTATATTAATGTATTCAACAAAAAACAAACAATTATTGAAATCCAAGACCCTCTTGGTCAGGTCCTGGTTGATTTGACATGGAATGACTCGTTACTAAATATTGAATAATTTTCGTAACTCTTGGCTTTAAAAAGAAAACAATGATAAGTATAGCGATGTATAGCAGAGTGAATAACTATGCCGAAAACTAACCTTTTTTAACTTTTTACTTATAGTTAGTTCAAACTCTTAACTATTCATTTTATTTAATATTTATAAGCTTTTAAGTTAAAGTTAAGTAGAAAATTTAATCATTGCAAGTAGTAAGTTAATGTGTAAACCAATCAATTTAGCTGAATGTAATAACCGATCTTCTTTTAATGTAATTTGTTATTTTCAGCGTTTTGTCTTCCAATACGAAGGAAGCCTTGAGAACATGATGGATATGATTCTCTCAATATCGGTAATTATATTATGACAATAATTAAAACATGAATTTATAATTATATTTATTATCAATAGAAGATAAGGATGTGGTTAAGGCACTAGCGGATCCAGTAGGGAAGCGCGGGGGGCGCGCGCTCCCCCTCTCTCCCTCTGGAGGCTGGAATATAATTCCAAAAAAGTTCGAAAAAGCAGCTATTTAAAGAAAAGAGAAATATAGGGAATATTCATCCTCATAGACGATGAATGTTATAATATAATATAAAAAAAATTATAGTGACCAGCACTAGCGAATTCTGCCAAGGGTCGCGCGCTCTCTTAGATGGTGAAAAAAAATTCCGAAAAAGTAACAAAAACGCCTATTTAAATAAAAGAGAAATATCGAGTAAATTCATCCTCATTCACGAATTTCCTAATGTAATTTAAAAAAACATATGTTATCGTGACCAGTACTATTAATTTCTGCCAGGGGCGCGTTCTCCTCTGGATGTTAGAAAAATAATTCCGAAAAAAAAGCTTCAGAAAAAAATCTATATAAAGAAAAGGATGATATAGTTTTTGGGCCCTTTTTTTAGGCTTGTGCTCCTTTTTCAGTTTGTTCCTACTGACTCCGAACTGAGTCTCGCAGGTGAAATACATGATGGAGGAAAATTTATTAAAGGAAAAAGAACTTCATTTATTCTTTCCAACCACATTTTATTCGAGCACAAGATAATATAGGTTTTCTTCCGGATTCAGTTTTTACTCATTTTCTTGATTGATTTGAACGCACTGCAACCTCCAGCACCTATAGTCTCCTTGAAGAATCCATGCGATTCATAAAACTGGTCACGATAATAATTTGTATATTTCTCATTAGAATGTGTTGTTTTTTTATTAAAATAGCCGCTGTTGGGAACGTTTTCGTTTAAGAATGTACCAATTATTAGTCTCCGCTTTGCACCGAATCGGAAATTATTCCGATTTTTTTTTTCTTAGAGAATTCATTTCCAAGCTGCAGTACCAGTTATAGTAATTTTTTTCAGATTTTGACAATGTCGGAAAAAATTAGCGTTCATTGACTGTGGTTATCGACCATATCACTTAATCAAATTATTAAGTTTAGGTACTCGTTCAACGCACATTGGGCGTTTTTTAATTTCCTTAAGAATACGTTTTCGCTTTGATAGACTGTTTAGTAGATAAATCTCCATCAGATAAATCTGGAATTCTTGGCTATAAAAACCTTTCTCTTGGTGACCAGTGTTAGCAATTCAGTTTTTTACATGTTTAAACTCATATACAGAGTGTCTCGTAAGTAGAGAGAAATATTTAAAGGAGTTATGGTAAAACTCAATAAAGTCAAAAAAATTAATATATATATAAACAATGTTTCGATTTTTAACAGGAAAGTAAAGAATTAAAGTTTTGTGATTTTTTATGTGTCACGTTTTTTGTTATATAGGAAGTGATAACAAAAAAACTATTTAATTTAAGTAATTAATGATAGCTTCACTGTAAACTAGACAAAATTTACTTTAAATAAAAATAGAGTTTGCTTTTATTAAAACTATTTAAAGAAGACTTTTGAGTGGTTAAACTCAGCTAAGGAGTGGGAGGAGATGGGTAGTGGTGGGGGAACGGGTAGGAGTGGGAGAAGCACGTGGTTCAGAGGTGCTCCCCCCTGAGAAAATTCCTGGATCCGCCACTGGGTTAAGGGCTAGGTCTGAAAGGACCGCAGAGGAAAGTATATAGTTACGAATTGTTTGAGAAAAAATAATTTTTGCCTATTAACAAGGCAACTAAATTGATGATGTTTTGAATGAAATACAATTTAATTAAAAAGTAATATGTGACAGATAAGAAAATAATTTATTTTTTATAATGATATAATTGCTCCAAGGTACTATTTGTCTAAGGCTGACACTGCAAACTAATGACAGTTATTTAGAATTTCGTTATGTAGTACTGGGAAAAAACTGTAAGAATAATAATTACGGGTATAATGGAAAGAAATATGAAAGTTGATTAAAGTTATAAAATAATTCGATCCTAAAATAGAACGCAGTGACGTTTTTCTTTTAAATACATATTTGAATTATTTTGTTGAACAATACTCTTGATATTTATTATATATAACTAGTTATACTGTTTATATGAATCGAAATTTACCCTGTAGATAGAAATTCACAACAACCACTATATAATAGTATATATTGTACTGGATTATACGTTGCTTACCAAAATGTACTACTCGAAAACTCCCAGTTATTAGTAAATCGTTTAATCCTACAAATTAATATCAAAATAGATTTATCTTCTGATATACCTGTATGATATGTGTTATTCTTGCTGGTTCATTGATATTCGTACAATGTAGTGTTAAACAAACTGTTTTGGATGTGTAAATTTAAACATATAACATCGGTATCATTTTTTTATATAATTCGCATCAATAATTAATGAAATCTCATCGCATAAATAAACTTGTACTATTTTATCATTCTCGCTTTGTGTCCTAATTTGATTATTTCCTCAATTAATCCAGTTATAGGTGCCTACTTAGTTCCAATAGCTTAGAACACAGTTATTATAGTTTATTATAGATAATTGCTTATAATTTTTTACAGTGTTTTTCCCCTCTATAGTTCTTTTGTAACAAAAGGGGTACATAATTTTATAAATAGATCAGAGTTAAAATATTCTATGTAATAAGTTGATCTTTGAGAATAATTCCCTGACAAAAACACACAAAGATTATTTTATTCTTTAGTTCCTGAAAATTCATTAAACAGCACGATATCATTAAGTAGGATATAAGTAATGATTAATATCAATAAATATACAATAAGTTATGACATTGGGTTTCACAAATCCAGACGAAAATAGCGGTTTTTGAGTAAAACTAGGACAGATTCTCAATGTGCTCTCTAGTGTTGCCCAAAATCGGTCTTGGTCTTGCACTTTGCAAGATCAATTCCAAGGCTGCCTAACTTTTGCAAGACCAAGACCAGGACTGGTAAAAAAAATCCATTTTTTAAATTAAAATTAAGGCAAAATAGTTACTAATACTTGACAATCTTAGATACTACATGTTAATAATTGGTATAACCAATATGCTTTTGCATTTAACTCCTCTAATTTTTCATTCGGGTTCACATAAGTTTCTCCTATCTAAAAAATTAAAGTAATATCTCTATAGTATTAAGCTAATAAGCAACTGAAAGACTGTTGCGAGACTCTTGCGCAAGACCAAGACCATGAGCAAGATTGAGTTTGCATGACCAAGACTCGTCTCGGTCTCGTATTTGGGCAACACTAGTGCCCTCTCCCCCTCTCCCCTACAAGAGGTGTTCTGGAGACAGATTATATGTGCATGTGGTACATTACCTTATGTTATTGATGTCATTAATGGTATCTATATATCAACAAGTAAAGAGCAACTTATGTAAAAATCGGCAAAATGGAGCACGTAGTTTTGCTTTTTTATATTTAACATTATTCAAGTTCAGATTTACTTTTGGTGTAAATGGCACCATTAAAATCAACAAAATATAGAATAAGATGAAAATTAAGTTGCATTTTTCTTCTCTAAATGTCTTCCTATTCTTTTTCTTCCTCCTATCAGCGTGAAAATGCCTTCAGCAACTTAGTTTGTTGTGAAAACTTAGTTTGATATTCTCTCCTACCTCCCTTTTTCTCAAAATAATATTACGAATCTGGTAACAATTTTTTTTTATCCTGTTGGAACACTTCTGGGTATATTTTTCAGATTTTAAATTTGAATTTAGTTAAATTATTCTTCCGGATAGATTTCTTCCTCTGCATCATGGTTATTCATAAACATTCTTTTACAAGGGCATTCTAATTCTTTCTGTATCTTGTTTTGGAAATAATTTAAGATTAGAGAACCAGGAAGAGGGTCTTCAAAATCTTATTGGGACAGTGAACATATGTTTACTTGCATCTTTATGTTTTTCTTTGGTCTTTAATTTTTTTCAGAATTTAATTATGTTTTTCGTTTAATTGTTATCCCGGTATTTTCAAAAAATCTTCTCATGATGACAGGTTTAGTTTTGTTTCTTTACATTACATACTCTTTCTATAGCTTTAGCTAACACATTTTCAAGCAACCCCTCCAAGATTCTTTCTTTCTGTAGATTATTTCTGGTTTTTGTTTGCTTCACCAGGAGAAGTTATGGACGAGATGTCACCGATTTCAATGAAACTTTCTTTATGATACTAAGTCGAAAAATATTAGACCCCTGTTCGAAGGTTTCTTGGTAATGACCCAAGAATGTTTGGTTAAGAAGCTATAGATGGAGGTAAAAACGCCTCTTCAGTGCACTCTACATGTGCTCAAAGGGATTGAGATCTAGAGACAATGCGGGAAGGGGCTGATCTGAAATGTCCAGATTTTCACGACTGATGAACAACTTTCTCTTATGAGGTTGCGTATTGTCAAGAAGATGGGAATCTGGACCAATTATGGTCGTGGTTTGCGACATATTCTCCTTTATAATTTCTTGAACATAAAGAACTGGAATAGATTATCTTCCACGATATGGAGTAGAGCACGAGCGGATCTACGGGGGGAGGAGGGCTTTCGGGCTGAAGCTCCCCCAAAATGGAAAAATATAAACATGTTTTATGGGAAATTTTTTTTAAAAAATACCTCTTAAAGTATTATTGTTCGTGTAATTACATTTAAAAGTACTTAAGGAATAACTTAAACACCATTTCATATAGGTAGTTAGTTTCTTTCTGGTTTTCCAAAGTAATTATCGTTATTTTTATGAAAAAAAAAATGTTTCGGGCTGAAGCCCCCCCCCAAAAAAATTAAATCCTGGATCCGCTAGTGGAGTAGAGCCCGTCGTCCGTCTTGAAGTAGATGCCAGCCAATACATAGTATTAGACCAATACATAAAGGAAGCACTAACTGTGGTAATTTACCCACTAGCGGATCCAGGATTTAATTTTTTGGGGGGGGGGGGCTTCAGCCCGAAACCTTTTTTTTCATAAAAATAACGATAATTACTTTGGAAAAACAGAAAGAAACTAACTACCTATATGAAATGGTGTTTAAGTTATTCCTTAAGTACTTTTAAATGTAATTACACGAACAATAATACTTTAAGAGGTATTTTTAAAAAAAAATTTCCCATAAAACATGTTTATATTTTTCCATTTTGGGGGAGCTTCAGCCCGAAAGCCCTCCTCCCCCCGTAGATCCGCTCGTGCTCTACTCCATATCGTGGAAGATAATCTATTCCAGTTCTTTATGTTCAAGAAATTATAAAGGAGAATATGTCTTATTTTTAAATATTTTTTTCCATAAAACATGGTTATATTTTTCCATTTTGGGGGCGCTCTAATTCAAAGAATGCTATGTATCCTCATTTAGGCGCTCGTTGCACCAAAATCTGCGAAGTTGCCGGTGGCGCATTGTCGCTTTGTCGTCTTAAAAGATCGTTTTATTTAACATTAAAATAGAAAAACACAATAAGTGCATTAAGATGACACAAACCCTTTTATATGTCAAATATGGTCTATAACAAGCGTCGAATTTGCGATTTTACAAAGAAAATATTCATCAGAGTTCTTAGTGATTTAAGGTTATGAAAAGTCACCTAATGACTTTATGCAATAAACCGACAAAAAATACTCTTGAAAACTTCTTTTTAACAACATTCTGCTTTCTTATCCATTCTTTTTCATCTTTGTTTAGATCTTCATAAAAGAGAAGTCGTCAAATTTCTGAACTCAATTCTACTTGCTGTTATTAGACAAATTACAAGTGAGCTGGCTAGCGATTTATAGGTCATAGATGTAGTGCAAAAATATATCCAACAACAATAAGTATAACTTTTAAATATGAGAAAATAGACTACCGGCCGATATTTGGAAGGATGTTACGGGAAGCCTGATAAGATGTCCTAGCCGCAAACAATCCTCCCTGCGGCCTTGTTGTTAGATGAGGAGATTGAGAAATAAATGAAGTTTAAGACAAAATTTTGCGTATGAAAGTAGGCTAGGGAATCGAAAACAAGTTCTATGAACAGGAATAAACGGGTTTGTGGGTTGGAAGCTCGTGTGTAAAGAGATTCATCCATACAGTCATCAAGGCCTCCATTCATCAAGGATGATCAGTGGGGAAAAATTAAAGAGAAGGATATGACAGATTTTGAGAGGCATAGAATCTCAGGAATTGTTTGAGGGTATATGTGTATTATTTTTTGAGCCAATTGCTGTGAAAAAAGGAATTGCCTAAGAGGAGGCTGTAATCAATACAAAAAGCTCAATACATCAATATTAGTTTCAATACAAATCATTAGTTTTAATTTTATACGTTCTACTTCATACTCCTATCTAATCCTGATAGTAGACATAATATTCCTTTTCATAGCTATGATCTTGTTCATTATTGTTTTCAGATGAGAGTAGAATTTTCCTTATCATGAAGTTGGTGCGAAAAACTTGTGCTATTTTAATTTTTCCTGCAGATAGCTGAAAATTGACTGTTATTATCCGGAGAAGATAAGATCTCATCCCTAAATTTTCTATCACATTTCTTTTTAGTTGAAAAAGCCTACAACTTTTTACCATATTCACTTATATGATTCTTGAAAAAAATACTTTATAAACCTTATCCTAGTGAACTCCAATCCCTATTCTATTTACTTTGGACATATCAAGAATGTCAACTTTACATTTTATGATTTCCATGATGAGTTCTACTTCCTTTTCAATAATATCCCATTGTCCAGTGATTCAACATGATAATAACATATTAAGTGTTATTACTCCATATAATTATGTCATGTTATTCATATAACATGTCACTCGTAGTATTATTTTAAGAATGATTTGGAAATTTAAGTTGTTTATATTGTCAAATAAACTTATCTAAACATTTTCAACAAATGCAAAACATGATATGTAATGTAGATCTCTGAACATTAATACGTCATTAAATTTCACCAAAACAATTTAGGATATTTTTTTCCCATCTAAAAATGATATGAGCTCCTTGTAAATTTTTCTTGCATAATTCACTGTTGGAAAACTAATAGTTAAATGTTATAGGTACTTCAATATAAGCAAGGACTGCGTCGAGATAAGCTACTAGGAAATACACGCCTGGATTTGGGAGCTATCTGGACGCAACCAGGTATTTTTTTATTGGATTTTATTTTATTGCCTGAAAATTTTAAAATGTTATCTAATAAATAAAACTTAAAAAAGTTAAGTTGACTATCGTAAAATATCTCTCCAATAAAACTAACAGTACTTTGCTGACATTTTCTCTATAAATTAATTAATTACATTAGTAAATTGTTGTAAAGAAAAATAGTTATGAAATTCATTTTGAATTTTGAACAATAGATTATTAAGATGGCTCATTATATTTATAGTAAACTGCTTCAATGTATTATAGAGTAGTGTTCCTATGAGGTGGCTTCTCAACAGGGGCATCTTTTCTGATAGCTTAACTGCAAAAAAGTGATATAATTTTTTTAGGCAGGTGAAAGCATTCAGAACATTAAAAAAAAAAAAATTTAAAAGGCCTAATCCCAGTTATGCTTTTTTTCTCCCATTAGGTACTCTAAAATATAAATCTGCCTTTGGTCCCAAATGGTGTAAGTAATTTGGTATTTTCTAATAGCTTCATAATACCATACCTATGTTTTCTAATTTGCTCATCTCATTAGTACATTACTGCTTGATATCTTTTTTTACATATTATATTAGATTTAATTTCACACTTTCAAACTATTAATCACCCTAATCCACTTATCTTTTTCTTCCTCCCTGTTACCTGAAGAGCCTCAAAGAAGACTATTTAATTGTTATTATTATTATTATTGTTGAAATTAAATTTATTATTTATTGGATTTATAAGGCATTTGTTTGTTTTCCTAAAATGCTATTTAAACAAATGAAACAGTGAAAAGAGAAATTGCTAGAATGGATGTACATATATATTATAATACTGTAGATATATTATTATTCATTTATTTTAGATATAAATGTGATGAATATTTATTATTAATTACATACAGACCTCGACAGATGGAATTTTTCATTGTCTATGTGTTGTTGCTTGTATATAAATATATATATATATTTTTTTTACTTTGTATTTTTTTTAAGTATAATAAAACACATATTCATTCATTGATAGTACATTACTGCTTGATATCTTTTTTTACATATCAGGCAGATTATTAGATTTAATTTCACACTTTAACTATTAATCATCCTAATCCACTTATCCTCTCTCTTTCTTCCTCTCTGTAACCTCGAGAGCCTCAAAGAAGACTAAAGCGACAATGACCTCATGATCTGCTCACAATATAAATAATTTCAAATAAATAACAGACAAAATGAAAAACAGCAAATTTGCTAGATGTGTTGCAACACAATTGCAAATATAATGTAAAATAAAATAAATAATTTAAAAAAAAATTCTCTCAATAAATAAATAAAAATTCTCTTTGGAGGATTTTGTGAAACAATCATATCTCTACTGTTAGCGCAAAAGTTTGTATGTAAAAATTGAGTTTTTTTACTAAAAAGCATAAAAAATGATTATTTTGCTATGATTTATTAGTATAATTTCATATTTTATTACCCTGTACCATTTTCCATAGTAGCAGGCTATTTATTCAACATATAATTGAAAAATTCAGATGACATAAATTTGTAATGGAATATTGATTTTTACCTCTTTAAAAGTATTAAGTATTAATGAACTGCACCATTTAGAGAACAGAGAGAGGATGTGAATAACTTTTAAAAACCTTAAATATTAATCTATATTAAAAAAAAAAATTAAATTCAGGACTATTTTTTCTATAGGACATGGCATAGCCGAGAAATGGATTGTTTTAACACACCCTTTAGATCCTGTAGGAGAAATTCGAGGCTATCTTAATTGTGAAATATCTATTTTTCCAGGGGGAGAAATAACTCATTTTACTGAGAAAGAACGTTTAGATGCTAGGTAAAAATATCAGCAGCCTAAAATTTAAATTAATAACAATTACAACAGCTTAGATATTACTTTTTATTTATTTTATTTAAAAGTTAAATTTCTTTGTACGTCAATGTTTTACTGTTATAACAAAAAAACTAATTATTGCCAAAATCATATTTATGAAGCTTGAACAACTTTATATGAGGAAAATAGTTTACAAACAATTTGAACATTAAAAATATTTAAACAAGACTTTTGAAATCTGAGATAGAAAAAAGTTCTTAAAAGTTGGCAAAAGTGTATTGGAAAATATTTTGAATTAAATGCATTTGATTTCTTTGCCTATTTTTTATTTATTTCCTGTTTTAGAAAATGGTCACACCATGCGTAACAACCCAATATATGTTACTTAAAATCAAGACCAAAGATTCAATATTTTAAGACCCCTAATACATAAAAAAATATTAAAATCAAAATTTTACCTTATCTCATCATGTATATAGATAATTTTGTAGTGATTAAAGGTAGCAAGATCATGTAAGTATAAAAACAGAGTAAATATTGAAAAAAATATATTTTTATAAAGTAATTCTGAGATAAATAGGAATTAATTAAAATTATGATGATGATGTGTTTATTGAAAAATACTTTACGTACTACTGATAAACAGACCACTCAGCCAAAACTCAAAACTTTAATCTAAAAATAAAAATCATATTCTTTAATAATTTTAAGTATCTTATGTATTAGTAAAAAATTATAACTTCTTGTTATGTAAACCTTATTGTTTTTAGAGAAATGTTCTTGACTGAAAGTTTTGGTGGTGGAAGACTAAAAGCAAGATATATATTTGGAGTACATAAAGGTGAAAATATCAGTGTAACTGGAAAGAATCTCAGTGTATTTATTCGAGTTTTTTTTGCTGGTTTAAGTGTATGTATTGTATTTTAGAAAATATAGTAATATTAAAACATAATGAAAACCTTAGATTGAAAATGTCTAGGTAAACTAAAATAATTCTATTGCAAATGATAAATATAAAATGACAAGAAGATACTAAATATTAGATAGTGTTAAATCTTCCCTTTTGAAAAAAAACCTAGCCAGAAAAAAATTTCTGGAGAATAAATCTGATACTTAGTCATTGGTACTGATAAACAGCTAGTGCACTGAAATGTGATACTTTCAATCACAACTCGAAGGTGCTAGTCAACTAATGGGGAGAGCTATGATGTTTAAGGTCAAGTGATCTGATTATCCATTTTGTCTACCCCAAAATAACTGATCCGAGATTACCTATTATTCCTCCATTTTAAACCTTCTGGCTTTTAATTAAAACCGCATCAAATGAACAACTATTAAATGTTCCTGGAATTTATCCGACACTGCACTTATTTATTAGAGATGTGTATCCATAAACATACAGTTAGCTATTCTATATAAAGCCATGTCCCCATATTGCCTACTAGGCAAGGAAGGGTTTAAATAAATAAATATACAGGCAGTTATTGGTACTTGTTCACATAAATGGCATGTTACCTCAACCACAACTCTATAAATCTTTAGATGTTTTTTGAATCTGCAGTGGCTAGTACTCTGTGCTAATACTCTAATAATTAGTCGGGGTTCATTTCTATTTAGACATAGCAACCAGTTGGTTCTATAACTAGAGTTTTTTTTTTTATTTATTTTTTTTTTTTATCAATAGCTTAACCTAAGGGCAATAAGCCCCTTCACTCCTCGCCTAAATTTCTCTAAGTACTGCTAATATCTGGCCGATTGAAGATTATGGTCCTAGGAGAGATGGCTGAGCAACGTTTTTAGCATGTCAGTCAGGTTTCTCATTATTTTTAATATCTTTGTGACCAGATACCTACACTAGCTTTATCTCCTTACAACCAGAAAGTGATTCTTTGGTTGGAATATAGTGCTATATTTGCCTAATAGAATGCTAAGGTTTATGCCTATATCGCCTAAGAAGACTTCTAAACGTATAACGTATCAAGTCTATTCTAGATTTATCAGTAAAAGAGGCAAGATGGTTGTTTAGAGTTTCTGTAATCCCTTTTCCCCAACCTAATGTCTCAGGATAAAAAGTGGGAAAGAGCAGTACTGTAACATTGGTAGTTTCCTTTTCAATACTTTGGCCAGCAGGTTCACCCATCTCTTGCCAGTGCCTGTTATATTTAATTCTTAAATATGCCATAACAGCTTCACTTTTTATTCATAGTTTTTTAAATGACAATATCACCTCTAGATTGAGCTGGGTCCCCCAAAATTGAAATATATATATATATATATATATATAAATAATATATGTAATTGTATATAAAAAGTAATAATAACAATACATTCTCTTTTTAAATTTTAATGCATTTACATTTATTAAAGGTAAGAAAATGCTTAGAAGAAATTTATAAAAATTATTTGTAACTTCCTGTAATAACGTTTTTATTTTATTTTTTTATATAATTATTTTACCTTCCTAGGACCGCCATGGATAGTTTTTTTCCCTTTTTCTCTCTGAGTAATTACCGTTATTAAAAAAAAAAAAAGAAACCCGAAAATTTAATCCTTATATCTACTGTTCCTGGTATGTCTCATGTGTCACTGTTGTTTTTCTTTTAATTTTTACCAACAGAATAACCCAGTTAAATTTGGTATCTAAAGTTATTCCATGGTTTTGATATTCAGGCTTTGTTAAGTTGAATATAAAAGAAACCCGGAATCTCAAGGATAGGACTTTCTAGGCAAATAGTACTTTACATATGACCTTGTAGAAGTTAAAATATAGTAACCATGGTCCTATTCATTTATATTAATAATGAGTATATAGAAATATCATAAGGGTTATTACTCATAAGAATATGAGAGTAAAATTGATTTATTACTTTGTCAGAGTGAAACAACAAAACGAAAAAATACAAAATTTCCCTTATGGCAAGAAGAAATTGTATTTACAGAGTTATTTCCTCCAATGTACAATAGATTTCGAATAGATGTCCACCTAGCAAAAAATATTGTATGCAGTAAATACTTAAATCTGTCCTCAATATCTGATCCTACAGTTAGTGGTTAGTATTATATTATGATTTTAAAATAGCTACTATTCATTGTTAATAATAAATTCAAGCATTATTTTAGTACACCATTTAATGTCTAATTATTAACTTTGATTAATTTATTTTTCCCTCCTTGTTTTATTTCCTCCAGCTTGTATGCACCACAGTATCATTGAGATATATTGTGTGCCATCCTATACTCTGTTAAGGACAATAGCCTTTGCGATTTTGTATGTACTGTGAGGACAATCAATTCACAGAATAGAATTTAGGATCATTTCACTATCAAGAAAAACTTTGAAACATAAGGCTTAATAAAAAAGCTAATAAATAAATTTTATTAATAAAAAAAGTTTTGATTAGAATCATAATTGATACAATGGAAAGAAATGGTCCAGGGTGGTGGTCATAAAAAGACTTGAAATAGTCTGAAAACTATTTCATTTCAAGCTTTCTGGAGAGAACATATGGTCAGGATGGAGTTTGTTATGAAAACATTTTAACAATTTTCACACCAAACTCCATCAAGACCACACTACCCTGGACCATCTCCTCCCTCAATAATATACAACGGTCAACTACCTAGTATTCATAATTGATACATTTTTCAAATATGTGAATTTTAACAAGAAGAGCATTACTTTGAGGAAGATAATAGGAGCTATTATAAAACTATTATTATTTATAAAGATTAAGAATCAACTGATTCTTTAGTCATGAGAATGATGAGAAAAGAACTGGAAATTTATTTTCTATTATTAAAAATACAAAAAAAAAACCATAAAAACAATGCAATATGAACTATACTGGTAGATTGAATTGTAGAGTGATCAATTTATTAAATATAAAATATGAAATTAGATTATTATTTGTTTCTGTTCATAAAAGTACATTTCTCAACAAAATATCAGATTATTTTGTATTATCATTGTAATTGACTTACATTTCAAGCATTTTTAAAGAGGATATAAATTAAAATAAATAATCTAAACAATATTGCAACATTTCCCCTCCCCCCAAAATTTTGTTTATTTAATTCTTTGCGAACATAGTTCCAATTTTATTTTCCTATAAAACTTAAAATTAGTGTTTAAGTATTTTTATTGTCTTTCAAAATAATATTTAAATTTTCCTCAATATTACATTTATTAATTAAAGGTTTCTTACCAACATATGGGCCATCATCTCTTTACCTGTATTCACCACCTTACAACTTCCTTGGATCAATACTTATTTCATTGGAAACTAAAACTGTTTACGCTTTATATGAACATGAAAAATTATTAGGTGTAAGAAGAAGGAGAGGTATTAAACTCCAAGAGGTTTGTTAAAACACACCATCTAAATATTTAAAATTATTATTATAAGTTTGGCCCTACAACTTGGTGACAATCCTGGTCTCCTCAACTAGCTTCCTCCATATGTTTTTGTCCCTGTCAGCCACCATCCAGTCGCTAATTTGCCATGCCATCAGACAAATAAAGCCTCGGCCTTCCTCTCTTTCTTTTCCTGAAGAACTGCTGTCAGCAAATCCAATGGCATCTCCACTTCCAATTCTAATAATTTGACCAACCATAATTTGTTTTGCTATGTTACTCCTTTTCCTCCATTCATTTTCTATTATCTTTCCTCTTAGTATCCTACAGGGGACTTTTCTTCTAAAGATCTGAAACTCCTATTCACTATTCTCCAAATGTGACAGATTTTAGAATCTAAAAGGAATATCGGAAGGTTAGTCTTATAGAATTTTATCTTTGTTTGCCTGGAGAGATGGTAGGACACAATGTGTCTAAGAAGGAAAAATAATATAGATAACCCAAGACATTACAGATATTAGCAGCAGAGTGGGATGACTATTTTCCAAAAATTTCATTGCAAGGGAAAAATAAAAAATGTTATTTATTTGGGAAAGAAATATTTTAATCATCCCAACTCTTTAGGATTTTAACTTTTAACTTTCTTGGTGTGAATGTTTAGCACCTTCAGCTTTCTTAATAATTTTCTTTTCTGTCCAAACACAACGTTGTACAGATAAAATATCTATGTTTTTACTTGAAAAATATTGTGATTTGTTTTAAATGTTTAGTAATTCTTAATGTTTAAATACATTTTTTGCTGTTTAAATTAGGTTCTCAAATCTCAAATTTTTGGACTTACAAATTGATGGGTAAGGAAGTATTATTATTTTACGGTGACTAGATTAAGTTTAACCAAAATGGTTTATTTGAAGTTTATTAAAATATTTAATAATATTCTAATATTTATAAAATAACAAATTGAATAATTTAACCAAACACATTATAGAAACTATTTTGGAGTATGGAAGAATTTGCACTTTTTGGAGTAATTTATGAGATCTCTATGTTAAAAAAGGATATCAAAAGTCAAACTGAAATATCTGTTGGTTTGGGATTTGGTGCATCTGTTCAGCGGCCCGAAAATGAATGTAAACAGAATTTTATCATTCATTTTTTTTAACAATTAAAAAATTTATTAATGATTTAAAAGTAATAATTATGCATGATAAGTTATGGGGACTATCTATTGCAACATCATCATTATTAATGACAGATGTTAATTTATATTTTTTACAGTTATACAGGTCCGGTATGTCTCTATTTGGGGCCCTCGGCTAGAATCTGAAGTGGGGTCCCTTTATCAATACAATCAGGAGCAAAGGACTGCTACTCTCTGGGTAACCTCACCCAAGCCAACCTACCTTTGTTTACATCAGCTACAGTGCTGCCTGATAGCATGCATTAACTCTACAATATATATATATATATATATATATATATATATATATATATATATATATATATATATATAAAGTGGTTTCAAACAAACAATTATTTTTGGGGCTTTACATATCATGGTACTAGATAAATACGAAATAATGATTTTCAGTGCCCTCAGAAAAGCCCTCCAATCATTCTATGGCCATAAAAAATTACAAAACAGTGATGTTGGGACTCTGTTAGAAGAACCCCTAAAATTTGCATGAATAGACGAATACAAAATAATTTACTTATACATATAGTGTCTCCAAGGTTATGTAAGACCTTATACTTTTTCTATTTATTCACTCTTTAATAATGTTTTGAGCAGTTTGCTCATTCTCAAGTTATCTATAAATAGTAAAAAAAACTATTGTTAATAATAATAATCATTAATTATCCAATTACAATTTAATTTATGATGCCAATACTACTGAACTTATCAAAATCCAACAATAATTCGATAAATTCCAGAAACTTTCCATATATTATTTTATTAAAATTTATTTCTAGTCTACAAAAACAGAAATCACCATGTTCCTTGCAATTTTATTTACATTTTGTATAATGCTTGTCAATTCTAAAAAATAAAAAAAGACTTAAACGTACAATTATTGCATAGTTAAAAAAAAATTATAATTTTGGATTCTTATTTTAAATAAATAATAAGGATAATTATTTAATCCGTATACTTTTCCTGAACTCTGCACTACCTTCTCCTACTATTGTTTAATATGGAGTGCAACATTTGAACTCTTAAGGGATGTATGTCGCTGTTGAAATTAGATATTATAAATGGGATATAGCTTTGTTGATATTTTATTTTATTTTTTAGAAATCAGGGGAAGCATCTCTCTTAGTACACATAATTTCTTGCATGCATATGCAGAGGCTTGGTGGTGGAAAGGAGCAGATGCAGACTATGACAGAAACAATTATTTTGCACTCATTAGGAATCCTCCATCACCATATATATTGATCTAGGCCTTCACTTATTTGATTCTATGAACTGTTCTTTGCGTGTCTTATATGTATTGCAATGGTCCGACCTAACTCTCTCTTATATTTGTATACAGTATTATCTTTCGATTGATGAGTATGCTGTATTATTTAGCAACTAAACACAGTTGAGCAGCCATGCAATGTTGTTGTATTTCTCACTATCTCTAATTAGAAAGTAATTTCATTTAACATATGAACATAATGTTGCCCAACATTTTTAACATCTGGTTTAAAATATTTATATTACTGTACTATTTATATTTTTAGTTATGTATATAAATTCGAATGTTTTTCTTGTTTTCCACTTTGTTTAAAATGTTTACATTATTATAATCAAATATGTGGTTGTTTATCATGCTATGGTTGGATAAGGCAGTGGTTTTTATTTTTTTTTGGATTTGTTTTATGTTTCTTAGTTCTTGAGAATGAGTAAACTTCACAAAAAGTTGTTAAAAAGTGAATAAATAGTAAAATTGTAAGGACTTACATATTCTTGGAGACACCATTTATAAGTACATTAAGTGCCCTTGAAAAACCTTCAAATAAAGTAACTAAATATGTACAAAATAATTATTTTGGGAGTCAATCACACAACGATACTAGATAAATACAAAATAATGATATTTAAGGCTCTAGAAGAGAGAGGGCCCCAAAAAATTTCAGAAATAAATGAATACAAAACAATTATTTTTGGTGCAAAACGTACCAAAATGAAACAATAGAAAATAAGAATATTTGGGGTCCTCAGGGGGGCCTCCAATCATTCTAGGGCTGTTAGAAAAAAAAAGTATAAAACATTGATGTTAGGGCCCTATTGGAGCAATTTACTAAGGTCAATGATAGAAGGGACTTTAAGGAGGTCTAATACTTCTGCTGTACTGCTGCTATTACTGTGCCGATACATGAGCAGCATATCTCTGGTATTCCCGATTCATAGGCAGCCGCACACCGGTCATATTAGACCTCCTGAAAGTCTTTTTCATCACTGACCTTAAATTTAATAACTTTTTTCCCAAAGAAAATTTTGTGTACTTTATGATGGTGTACTTATAATTAAATTATCTTGAATAGTTTTTGAGCAATTTCTTTTTATAAAATCAAAAATGAGACCATTTTAAGGAAGATACAAAATTTGTCGAATCACATACACACTTAATCCTTTTATACTGCTAAGCAGTGTAAAGTTTCTGTCTATAGAACCTGATCCAACAAGTCTCCATCTTGATCCAATTGTCTTCTTCTTGTCCAATTTTTCCTCTTTGGTTAAGGACTTCATTTACTCCACTTTTCCGGGTCTTCCAAGGCACTTCTAGTTCTTCTACAACCCACCTTTCATAAGTGAGCCTTGCTAGGCTATCTTCTGGCATTTGAGAAACATGCCCGAACCACCTTAACTGGTGTTCTTCTATTTTTTCCTTTGCATCCTGCAGATCCAGGTTGGATCGAATTCTTATGTTTCTCACTCGGTCTTTCCTTGTCTTACTTCTGACCCTACTCCATTGCCTGGAGTTGGCGCCTATGTTTACTTTTTAGGGTCCAAGACACCCTTGAGTGTGTCAGGATTGGAATGAAGGTATTTTTGAAGATCGTTAGTTTTGTAGTTTTCTTTTGTTCCCAAAAAACATACTTAATGGCATTACAGCAACTCCTGAGTGCCTTTATTCTCTCTACCACTATAAAAAGGAATGGACTCAGGACTGATTACTCCAGTGGTTTAACTCTATAGATACCATGTTTTATGTTCTGACCAAATTTCTGTTGTTTTTATAAAGTCTTCTACAGGTTTTTCTTAATCTCAAGTCAGTTCTATTCTGACTTATCATATTTGTTTTTTGGATAAGCAGGTGATGTATGTACTGAGCCCAGAGCCAGATGATGGGGCTGCCTCCTCGTAGCTGACAGGCCAGCTCTCCCCTACTCTACCACTTAGGTGGCAATCGATATCTACTGACTTGAGATAGTGCTTATTAATGAAGTGCACCCATAGCTACAGTGGAGCTATATTAATCACTCAAACTATAAATTATAGTTAAATCATCAATAAATGTTACAGTTAACATACTTGAAACTTGGTCAGATAAAACAGTACAAATGGATGAATCATACATGTGTATTCCAATAACATCTGCAAAGCAAACACTATATAAAAAAGAAAAACTTCCAGATAACAGAAAACGGCTTTTCATATCAAATCGATTGAATCACATAAGAAAAGAATTTGTAAGTTGAACTATTATTATTTAAACCTTCAAAATTATGATTCATAGAGCCATCAATAACAGAGAAAGAATTATATCTATTACAAACTCTCAAATTCTAATAATTATTTAAATATTATGTTTATTTAGAAATAACCTCGATTGAAATTATGAGGGTCATTAAATTTGTTTTTATTCTTTAGAGATGATTTTATAAATCTATTCTATATATACTAATATAGTATTTATTTATTGAGTTTAGTACCGTTATTTACTTCCATCAGGAAAGGAGAGGTAGTTCAATTATATGTAACAAAGTAAAAGTAAACTCTCATTGTAAACCAGAATCTATTCCTGTCTAAAGAATGTTGGAGTATTAATACAACATTCTAACTCGTTATATGACCAATGCAATAATTTGAGTTATTGATCTATAAAGTTGCAGTATAATATGTATGGATTTTACTTAATTGGTAACTATTCAGAAAAAGTTCTATCATTATTTTTGTATAAATATCTTCCTTCAAGTACACAGATAAAGTCAGATATCCACTCCCCTTATTATCATTCATACTGACAAAATATGAACTTCATTAATTGTAGTGATATAAGGGAAAACTAAACTTTTTTTAAAATTTATTTTATAAAAGCTTATATGGTACCTCTTTCTATACTGTGTTAAAATATATTATATACTTCATTGTGAAAAAAAATAATCTATTGGAGTTTGTACTAGTTCCTCATGCTTACCCTAGATTTTTTTCTTTACTATCCTAAAGGTAAAGGGGAATCTCTCATAAAATCATGGATCTTTATTCTGCTATGACGTAAATCTTGAATTTTCAGTCATAAATAATTTATAATATGCATTATAATTCAAAAAGGCATGACAGTAGATAATTTAATTAGATTAAATCATCATTTCTTGATGGGTGATTGGAAAACTTGTACATTTTTATACCTTGAACCAAAAAAGGTTGATGTCTTAAACACTGAAATTTCATTGAATAGCATGAAATAAATCAGGATATGAGATTAATTAATTGTTAAAATATCCAATGTCCTGCAATTAGCTATTGAGATTAACTAACTTTTAACAATTAGTGCATAACTACCCTGATTTATTTTATACCACTTAGTTAAATTCCAAAGTTTTGGTCTTTGCATCATTTGTTCTAAAGTAAAAATTAAAATAAAATAGAATATAATAGAAAAATAACTTTCTGGGAAGAAGTCCCTTAAGAACAACATAATGATACAAAAAAAAAAAAAAATTACTTCTGGCCTGAAATATTATATTAAATAATAAAAAATTAATAAAACATAAGTATAAAAAATAGTATATGCAAAATCAAACAATGAAACTATTTACAAAATATTTAGAACTACATACAATACTTGATAAGAAATAAAACAAAATAATTGCTATTTAGCTTTAATAAAATAAAAAACAGAAATAAAAAAGATAGGAAGGAAGACAATAAATGAAAAATATATTCCTTTAAACAAATATTTAATTCCAAAAATAAATCAGCACACATGTAAGGCCTAGGGTGCAGATTCTATAAAAATATATGATTCACCCAAACTAATGATTGCTGGTTGTTTAGAATTTTCAAATCATGAGCCACCATATCTTTTAAATTTGTCAAACAATTAAATAAAAACCTACTTCCGTGTTTTTACTTTCCTACCTATTCCTACCTTTTTATCCATTCGTATTTACAACTGTATTATAAAAAAAAATACAACTATTAAATGTGTACTCAGGAATATAATAACATGAAATCTCTTGTTGAGAAACTACCCACTGATAGCACTCAAATAATAAATTTACACAAGAAGATCATGAGGCCACCTTCTGTTCAGATGCCTCGGTGGGTTATTAGGGATCGAGGAGGAAGCGAGGTTTGAAACGAGAGGGTTTGGATGGTTCTGCAGTTTGTTATGAAAGGATATGTATCTGGGTTGGGCCAAATTGGAAACATAGGGAACATTAAGGTCCTTATGGATGATTTTATTTGTGACAAAGTAATGAGCATTGATGATTTTGGATTGTAAGGATTGGATATGAGAGGAATTCGATGGTTTAGTGGAGCCCCAAAGCTGAATTCCGTAAGTCCAAATAGTCTTATTACTGTCATATATATGAGTCATTTGTAATTGATTGAAAGCTTAGAGCGTTTGTCTAGTAAGTGTTGGAGTAGTCGGAAACATCGAGCGGTTACTTGTCGTTTCAGTCTTGTATAATTTAAGTCATTTGTCCAGGTGGAGTCCTAGGTAACAGATTTGTTCAACTGGGATAAGTGGGGAATTGTTAAAGGATACTGTAGGACAGGAAGTCATAGGTTTGCGACGCAGGATAAAGGTATGGGATTTATTGAATTTATTTTAATTCTCCAGTTCTTACACCGTTCTTCAAGGTTTGTGATATGTGATTGGAGAGTTTGGGATGACTGCATCAACTGTAATGTTTCATTATTAACAGATAGGTTACAGGTGTCATCAGCATACATGGTGATGACAGTGTCAGGATGGGTTGGGATGTCAGCTGTATAAACTGTGTAAAGGATAGGACCAAGGATACTACCTTGAGGAAGAATAAATCGGTGAATTCCAACATATTAATAAGCCAAGACTAGATAAATATATATATATATATATATATATATATATATATATATATATATATATATATATATATATATATATATATATATATATATATATATAAATAACTTAATCCTCATTTTAGGGACAAGAAATGTTACAACTTCAATTTTCATTGGAGCATTCACCAAAGACAGTTGAAAAAAGGCTGAACACTGTAATGAAAAATCTCATAGACAATTGTGAACTTTTTAAGTCTTCTTCAATCACTGGTTCCACAATGTTAGATAAAGAAAGGCTTAAAACCATTGTAACAAATTTGGTAATTTAAAAGAACTTTATTTTGATAAAAGATACTTAAAGGATTAAAAATCTAGCCATGATATAAAAATAGAAGCTATTTTCATAAACTACTCAAGAGATATTAATTTAATTTGAATCAGATATCAATTAAATATAATACTTAAAAATTAGTAGTAAAGAAAAATAAAATTATTTACAAATAATTAATTACTAATTAATATATTATTTCTGGCGAGGCAAGGTCCACACCTAACCTGCTTATAATTGCAATAATTAACTGCTAGGCACTTAATACTAAAGCCAATTATGAGAATTTATACAAATCCAGTGAGAATTTATCAATGTGGTATCATGAGAGGGAGATCTACTACTGATCAAATCTTTACCTTAAGAACCATGCTTGAAAGAACAAGGGAATATAATATTATCACACATCACCTTTTTACAGATTTCATATGACAGAGTCATTAGAGAGAGGATCTACCAGGCTATAGAAACAAAGAATATTCCCCTTGAATTGACAATCTTACCGAGTTGCTAATGATAGGATCGTGGAGACAAGTTAGAATACAGGGAGACCTGTCAAGACATTCATGACCACAAGGGACTTAAGCCAAGAGATGTCTTATCATGCCTGATTTTCAACTTGCACTAGAATGGGTAATAAGGGACTCAGAAGTGCAAAGATTGGGAGATTCTCACCAAGTCAGTACAAATCCTAGTCTACACCGATGACATATTTATCATAGGTAGATCACAAAGGGACTTAAAAAGGATCTTCTGAGCTCTAAAGGCAGCAGGGCAGGTAAGGGGTCTAAGTATTAATCAGGCCAAGACTAAATCAAGGTATGATTGCCAACTCACCAAGGCCACCACCATCTACATCTGTACATTATACATTGTACCACAACAGTAAAATTGGAGGATACACATTTGAAAACTTAGGCAATTTCATGTACTTAGGGTCCTTAGTTTTTGAAGAAAATATGCCTAGTCAAGAAGTACAGAGAAGAATTATGTCAGCTAATAGGTTTATTTTAGCCTAGCTAAAATATTGAGAAACCATTTGCTGACGAGGTCCACTTAGGGATGGGTTGATACTAAAATTTTTATATCTAGATACAACTGATACGGGTACTTTTTTGTATCTGATACTTTTATCTGATACTTTTATCTGATACTTTTGTATCTGATACAAATGGGTCAGTAGTTGGTCATGACCTTCCTACTACTTTTTATCTGATACTAGTATCAGATATTTTTATCTGATACTGGCATCAGATACTTTTATCTGATATTTGTATCAGATATTTGTATCAGATATTTTTATCTGATATTTGTATCGGATATTTTTATCTGATATTTGTATCAGATATTTTTATCTGATACCCGCATCGGATACTTTTATCTGATATTTTTATCTGATACCTGGACTAGATACCCAGCGGTATGCATGCTGGCGCTTGGTATCTAGTCTAGTCTTGGACTTATTAGTTAATATATAGTAGTTCTAATGACTTTATAGTTATGTCAGGTACTATGAAGATATTCACACAGTTTTTAAAACAAAATGTGATTCATATTAGACAAAAGAATGGAATATATTAAATAAAATATAACAAATTCATGCAGAGAAAAATTTTTCCTAATACAACGTTCTTAAGAATTTTGTAACAATTGAAAAAATTCTTAATAGCTACGTTTAACATACTCACACACACATATATATTTTTTATTTTCACTGATCAATCTACATCTTGGGATTTAGATTATATAGGACTTGTATAATGTTTACAATACTATTATTGTATTCTTTGAACATATTGAGGTACATAGGTAAATCATTTAAAGTAAATATTTATCCACTCTTTTATTATTTTTTTTTTCATTAATACAATGGTATGACAACAAAAGTAATTTGTCGTTCATTTCAAATTTCAGTTAAAATTCCATAGTTTATTGTTTTTAGTAACTATCTTGCGGTATTGGGACCTTATTGCTCATATTATGTCTTTAATATATCAGTATAGTTATGTAAATCCTTCTGTTATTACTTATTTTTTAGTTTTGTTTATTGTAATATGCATTTTGGCCAGATGTTATGTTAATTTTTATGTACAATATTGTTATTCTCAAGGGACTTTGTCCCAGAATAAAGGTGATTATTCTATTCTATTCTATTCTATATATATATTTATTGTTTCTGTTTGTATTACAGACGATGTAGATCTTTTGCCACCTTAACAAGTATGCTCAATCTCTGCCTGTCTTGGGCTATTTTTTGCCATTTATCTGCACGCAGCTCTATTCTATCTTTGTTGATTCTATCTATCCATCTGCTTTTTGGCCTTCGACGTGGTCTTTTGCCTACTATAATAAAAATAGCCCAAGACAGGTAGAGATTGAGCATACTTGTTAAGGTGGCAAAAGATCTACATCGTCTGTAATGCAAACAGAAAAAATAACTATATATATAGAATAGAATAGAATAGAAGAATCACCTTTATTCTGGGACAAAGTCCCTTGAGAATAACAATATTGTACATAAAAATTAACATAACATCTGGCCAAAATGCATATTACAATAAAAAAAAAACTAAAAAATAAGTAATAACAGAAGGATTTACATAACTATACTGATATATTAAAGACATAATATGAGCAATGAGGTCCCAATACAGCAAAATAGTTACTAAACAACAATGAACTATGGAATTTTAACTGAAATTTGAAATGAACGACAAATTACTTTTGTTGTCATAATATTGTATTAATGAAAAAAATAATAATAAAAGAGTGGATAAATATTTACATATTACATATTAAATGATTTACATATGTAATTTAATATGTTCAAAGAATACAATAATAGTATTGTAAACATTATACAAGTCCTATATAATCTAAATCCCAAGATGTAGATTGGTCGGTGAAAATAAAAGAAATATATGTGTGTGTGGGGATGTTAAACTTAGCTATCCTATAGTGAATATCTTCATAGTACCTGACATAACTATAAAGTCATTAGAACTATTATATTTAAAAATGGTGTAAAATATTTATTACACGGACAAATTTAATAATAAAGGAATAAAATATATATAGGTACATATTTAATGTATGTTTTATTAGGTATCAAATAGGTATTAAAATATCAAACCCGATCAATAATCAATTACAGTTGGATTAAAATATCTGATACAATTATTGAGATATCAAGCCCAAGTGCCAGTATGCATACCACTGGGTATCTGGTCCAGGTATCAGATAAAAATATCAGATAAAAGTATCCAATGCGAGTATCAGATAAAAATATCCGATACAAATATTAGATAATGGAAAGAAATAGCCCAAGAGAGGTAGAGATTGAGCATACTTGTTAAGGTGGCAAAAGATCTACATGGTCTGTAATACAAACAGAAAAAAAAAAAAAAAAAAAAAAAAAAAATATATATATATATGTGTGTGTGTGTGTGTGTGTATGTTAAACTTAACTATAAAGAATTTTTTTAATTGTTACAAAATTCTTAAGAACGTTGTATTAGGAAAATATTTCCTCTGCATGAATTTGTTATATTTTTATTTAATATATTCCATTCTTTAGTCAAATATGAAACATATTTTGTTTAAAAAATTGTGTAAATATTTTCTTAGTACTTGACATAACTATACAGTCATTAGAACTATTATATATTAACTAAAAAGCCCAAGCGCCAGTATGCATACTGCTGGGTATCTAGTCCAGATATCAGATAAAAGTATCCGATGCGGGTATCAGATAAAAATATCCGATACAAATATCAGATAAAAATATCCGATACAAATATCAGATAAAAATATCCGATACAAATATCAGATAAAAATATCCGATACAAATATCAGATAAAAATATCTGATACAAATATCAGATAAAAGTATCTGATACTAGTATCAGATAAAAATATCCGATAGCAGTATCAGATAAAAATATCTGAAATTAACATTACATAAAAAAAAAAAAATAAGCGTAAATATATTTATCTACAAATAAATATTTAATTAAATTAAACTAAATGAATAGATAGTTTTAAAAAAATTGTGCACAACTAAAATTATAACTAAACATTTCTCTTATATCAATGTGGCATGTCTGGACAACCATTTTGTATCCATGTGAGCATCAGATACTTTTGTATCAGATACTTTTTGGTTGTATCTACTGGTTGTATCAGATACTTTTTTAGTATCAGATAAAAGTATCTGATACATACAATCCGACCCATCCCTAGGTCCACTGAGATCACTCTGTACAAATCTCTTATTAGACCTGTACTGACGTATGGATCAGAGACCATTATCACGAACTGACGCAATCAGGTTGCAGGTTTTGGAGAGAAAAATTCTGAAAAGGATGTTTGGCTCTGTAAAAGTTTATAACCAGTATAGGCTAAGGCATAATGTACAGTTGTACGAAATTTACTGGGAACCGGATGTGTTGCAATTTTTACAGCTCTCTAAGCTGAGATGGACAGGACCCGCCCATCCAGGCTGGACTCACCAATCAATCGGCTACTGTCCGGGTATGTGGATGGCAGAAAAAAGAGAGGACTGGCCACTACTGAAAGCCAGACTCTTGCACAAGATAAAGAGGAATGGAGGCGATGCACTAGCGGATCCAGGATTTCATTTTTGGGGGGGAGTACTTCAGCCCGAAAGCCTTTTTTTCCATTTATATATAACGATAACTACTTTGGAAAAAAAAGAAAGATGCTAGCTACATATATGATATGGTGTTTAAGTGATTCATGAAGTCCTATTAAATGTGATTACACGAAAAATTTAATTATTGTTAAGGTATTAATATTTAATTAATACCTTAAGAGATAATTTTTACCATAAAACAGGGTTACATTTTACCATTTGGGAGGGGGGAGGAGAGGAGCTGATCATAATAAAAACACTCACATTTTTTTGTTATTAAATTTAATTTTCCTAGATACGAATATAGTAACTAATGCTTACCAAAAAATATGTATAAGTATTTTTAATTTTTTTTGTAGGATAATATTATAACCAATGCAGAGCAAGTTATAAAAAGCAACTCACGACTAACTACTAAATTTGATATTGGTTTAAAAGTGTTCAGAGATATTGTGAATATTGTTCAAGATGTAAGAAAATATCTTACTACTGATAAAAAGAAATTCATACTAAATAAGAATTTTGGTTAACTTTCCTAATTTATTTTTCATCTTCTTAGCCTCAAGAATCATTCCCTCAAATTATTTTGACAATAAAAAGTAAGGAAAAAATAATCGCATATACAAAAATTCCTCCAAAGGATGTTCTATTTTCTTTAAAAGATAATGAAAAAGGAATTAACTGCGGTATTATTCAATCTCTGTTTTTAACGGTAAGTTATGTTTTATCTTAGGTTATAAAACTAACTCTGTCAGTCTGTAGCGGATTTAGGAATCACTTTTTTGGGAGTGGAGTACATTCCCATTTCACTCATAAAAACAAATATGGACAATGAAAAAAAAAAAAATCCTGTTTTGGTGTAACTAGGGCCCAAAAGCCAACTCCTTTTGCATCCGCCAGTGATAAGAGGTTAAGTAATCAGGAAGTAGTAAGTAAAGGATTTACTATAATAAAAATCTGTTGTTATTTAAACAATAAATGATTACTGAATTTTCATTGATCTAGTCATGAATATTAAATGTTATACACAATTTACTACATATTTATAAATATGCAGATTATATTTCGCTTCTAATGTAAGGGAATTGGTAACACTGTTCAGATGATCAGTTCGAAGTGTACATTCCTTCGAATAGGTTATGTGTTTCAATTGAATTTGTGACGGGAGTGAGTGTGTACATTTATAGTCGGCCGGTTCGTAAAAATGCAAATTGAAGTTATTAATGTTGTGGGATCTAAATTAGTATGTGTAGTGGAGGATTTGTCAGGTTCTTCGTCGATTAAAGATATAAAGGATGCTGTTTATGTTCAAAGAAAAAAATATTATCAGGAACGTCAATCTCTGAAATTGGAACCCAAAGGAAAAACCCTTAAGGATGAAGAAACTCTTCAAAGTTTGGGGATAAAAAATGGTGGTAAAATATATTTAAAAGATCTTGGTCCACAGATTGGTTGGACTACTGTATTTTTAGCTGAATATGCTGGTCCTCTTATAATATATCTACTAATCTATCAAAGGCCCTGGATATTTTATGGTAATGCTGGTAGTGAATCTTCAGTTCATTTAACTGCGCATATTGCTGCTGCTTGCTGGTCATTTCACTATGGCAAAAGACTGTTTGAAACTGTATTTATCCATAGGTTTTCACATGCTACCATGCCAATTTTAAATCTTTTTAAAAATTGCTCATATTATTGGTTGTTTACAGCTTATGTTTCATATCATGTGAACCATCCTCAATTTACATCTCCATCGCTAATTCAAGTATTCCTTGGTTTAGGAGGATTTATGCTTTCAGAAATTGGTAACTTTAGTATTCATGTTGCGTTGAGAGATCTTAGACCTCCAGGAAGCAAAGAAAGAAAGATTCCTTATCCTACTGATAACCCATTCACTAAACTCTTTAATCTTGTTTCTTGCCCAAATTACACCTATGAATTCTTTTCATGGTTTTTCTTCACTGTGATGACCCAGTGTTTACCTGCTGGATTATTTGCAGCTGCAGGCTTGTACCAAATGTCCGTGTGGGCTATTGGAAAACATAAGAACTATAGAAAAGAGTTTCCAGATTATCCGAAAAACAGAAAGGCAATTCTGCCATTTGTTTTGTAAATTTTTTACCTCATTCCATCATCTTATTTCGTTATGGAATATAAATATTCCATGTATCAATGTTAAATTTTTTTATTATTAAACTGTAGTACAAACTATTTCAGATTTTCTAAATTTGCCTGACTTTAGAAATGAATAAGTAGTTAAATTATTTGGTGTAATGTGAATTCTTTACAACGTACCTAATTGTATGTATTTAGTGAACTGATTGTCTCGTTATTGTAAAAGTAACTTTTTTCTTTAAACAGTTGTAATTCAATTACAATTCTTCTTTCTTTATTCCTTAAAGTTTATATTTAAAGATTGTTATTATGTTTTTCCTAAATAGACTGATGATTAATTAGTATAAGTTTATATGAACATTTAAGTTATTTGTGTTTAAGTACAGATGTTTTTGCTATTATTGGCTGTAACTTATGATTTGGTGAAACAGTGTAACACCAAACATCATGAAATGTAAAAATATTCCATAAATCTTGTTTTTTCGTTATGTTTTTAATAAATATTTATGTATTTGATTTGTTGACTTCATCTTACTAAAACCATTAACTATTGATTTTTTAAAAAATAATTCAGAGTTGACAGTTGATTTTTTTTTGTGATGGACCTCAGATAAAGAAGTATACCCTAATATTATCTCTATAAACCAGAAAGAAGTAATTTTGATTCTAATCAATCCTCAGTTATTCGTAAGTGGACAAAATACATTTTAAGAAAATATTCTTTCTATTTAGTAGTAGAGAAATTAATTCATTCACAGGTTAATAAAGTCCAAATAGATGGATTCATCAGTATATCTTGTTAAAACATTATCATCAACATTTAATCTTGTAACATATTTAGCTTGCGTTTAACTTTGATTAAGTTGTGTTTCATTTTTTTCCTTTCTATTGCTACATTTGTTACTTGTTCAATTTTTTTAGAATATAAGTAAGAGAGGAAATGGTTTTGGTGGCAAAATTGACATACTTCTTTGGTTTGGCCCGTTTGCATCAATTGGATATGGTTTATCTTCCATTCCTTCAGGTTTCCAAGATATATCACAGGAATATGATTTTCCAAAAGCAATTGTGTACTCGGATATAAATGTAAGGATAATTGAGTCATTAATCCATTAAATCTAATTAAAAATTAGAATTTCGGTTAAATAATACATTATTGTTAATAGCATTTTTAATCTAATTTTCTTACAATTGACAACAGTTGTATAGTTTGTTGAAGCAACAAATTGTGAGACCAAATTAATTATTTATTTTGCTTTTTGATTTCATCTAATCACATCCATTACTGTTTAATTTTGCAATTGACTTTTGGTGAAATAAATTTACTATGTATATTTTCAAAGTAGTGAAACATTTATGAAATTATGGTTGATTATTTTTTCAAATTTAGAAAAATATATTTTTTACTTTTGTCCTTTAGAAATTATATTTTTACCAACAATTTCTAAAACTTATGTTGAAACTATAATAAAAGAAAGTTACTGGGTTGTCCTTTGACGATGAATGTTGTAATGAAATAAATGTAATAAATTGTGTTTAAAATCTAATATGCCAGACTCCTTTGAACATAACATGAATATACAAAAATTGTAAGATTATTTAGATACATTTATTATCAAATTCAGTATTATACTTAGATTATTTTAAGAATTATTATACAGTCAAATTGTATTTCCACGGAACACTCATCTTATCTTTCTAGCTGAAGTACTTTTGCCCTGGAATTATTTAATGGTAAGGTTTAATGATTTGAAATTCTAAATCCTCATTTACATGTATTCACATTGAATGAATGATATGTTAGAATTTTAGCTGTCTCATCCTAATCCTATTTGGAATATTCATGTTTTATGCCTCCTGAAAATTCATTAGTGTATGTTGCATTACTGAAATGTATCCAGTTGAATAATTAAGAATGTATCCATACGCCTTTCCTTTATAACTGCACAAAACAAGAACAGAGTGAGTATGTTTTTCATCCTGCCCCGTAATTTGATTTTTTTTTTTACTCTGTATCCGTGTTTTCAGCAATAATGACAATTAATTGTTGCAAAGCTTATATTTCATGTTTCTCCATTATCTTGGATGTATTATAATAAATATAAATGCATTAACACACTTTTTATGTCTAAAAATGTTAAAAATAATCATTTTTTTTTTTTTTTTATTATTTATCATCTAAAGTAGGTTTAGGTGGCAGGATATAAAATAACATGTATAATTTTCTTAAACAACATGAGATGAATCTCATGTTTTTCCATAATAAATCTCAGATTAATAAATATGTACAAATAGTATAATTATATAACAAATAGTATAATTAAATGAGGAAGTTTTTCTATAAGTGGGATATCAGTAATATAGTTAGAGGATGATTTATAACCAACATTTGCTTAAATTAGCTGCTCAAAATTCCTTTTTAAATGGATTTAACATTGGCAAACTCTATTTTCATTTTAAGTAAATTTTATCTACTTTACAGGAAAGCAATTTTTAATTACTTAAATTAAATATATATTTAGTTATCACTTACTTCCTATTCAACAAAAAGCCTGACTTAAAAAACACAAAATTTGGATTTACTACTTTTCTGCTGAAAATTGGCCTATTGTTTATATTAACTGTAGCTCTTGAGGTCTGCTATCACTTCTGTAAAAATTTCCCTCTACTTAGGGGACACCCTTATATATCACTGAATCTCTTACCTTATTTTTCGTAGAATGTCCATCTTAAAATTAATAATTTTCTAAACTTAATTGCTTATATCATTTATAAGTACAGCAAAGACAAACAAATATGCAACATTTCAGTATTTTATAATTTTACTTGATATCCTACCTTCTCTAATGTTATTAACTGTTCTATTCAATTTTCGCACAATAAGAAACAAACTAAACCCATATTTTGTTAAATACATTTATAAAACTTACAATAAGGTTTAGACGTTTGTAATATTAAATTCAATTGTATTAATTTTCCAATACTAAAATTAAATTTTCAGTATTTTTCATGCAGAGCTCATTTATATCAAGGTCATTTTCTTCCCTGTGATGATGCTTCTGGATTATGTCAAATTTATGTTAAAATCTATTTTAATTGTAGAAGTGAAACATCTTCGGTAAGTATCAAGTGACGCTTTTCAATTTGTAAACTTATTTTTTTTTTTATTAAATTCTATGGCTGACTTTCCTGTGGTAACTTACTTGGAGATGTTCAGAAGTAATGCTCTAAAGCTGTAAGGTATTAAAGGTTCTAAAGATTAATTAAAGGTAACCCATAGTAAAGAGTTTCTAAGAAACACTTCCTAAGAAGTTCAAAAATATAGCCCATGAAATAATTATAAATTATATGGTATAATTATTAATTAGCGGAGACCTGTTTTTTGATATCTTAGTAAATTACTAATATATTAAATATAAATTAATTCAATGCCATATTTAAAAAGATAGATCTAATAATAATCCTGATAAATAATGGAACAAGTGTCAATAAGGTCAAGGCATCATCAGTCATTAGTCAAAATGGTGTTGGATTTGTTAAGAAATGAGAATAAACCTCAACAGTTCTCATTATGACATTTAAAGTACGAAATGTAGTATTTAATTATTGATTTGGAAATTCCTGATTAAAAAATATTTGACAATTCGGTCAGTGTAACTTCCTCACTATTTCTGTTTGTTACTTGAAGAAAAATAAATTATATTTAGGAAAAACAAATTACATTATAATTGATACGCCGTCTAACGACATTTCGCCTAGTGGCATATTACGAAACTTATGTCATTAGTGTAATATGCTTTTATAATAAGCTTGATTTAAATTTAAAATGTATCAACATTTTTATTGAGCTCTGGTATAATTGTTAATATACAAAAAGTTGGAAAGCTATTTGACCGTTCGGACTTAGAAGCGCATTTTGGTCCTGAATTTGTTTATTACTGTTATGGATGTTGAAGTCTCTAATGCCAAGTGAATATATAAAAGGTATGTAATTTGTTTGCAATTATAGTTCTGTTGTTAATATAGTTAAATCAGTCGAATCAAGAGCATCGAAAAGATAAAAAGCACCTAAATTGAGAGCGGCAGTCACTACGTGTGAAATACGCCTTCGATTTCGTGCTCTTTAACAGCCACTTAACCCTCTCAAATATTAATGTATCCAAATGAGGTAGATAGGAATTTTAATCCTCTTTCAAATTGAATATAATAAATTTCTTCCAAAGATTTTTATTTCTTTTTCTACCCTTTCTTGCCGTTTTCTCGAGCCAGTGTGGCTGGAAGGTGGAGGATTAATGCCAAAGTTAAAAAGCCCACTGGCAACGGGACGCGAACTCGGTACTTATTTTATCCCGTATAACTTCGGTCATCAGGTTGGCGAGCAACGCACGGTGCTGTGCACACGCGATAGACCAATCGGACACCCTGCCCCTATCTTCGACATAAAATAAAACTGACGAAAATAGATATTCCTTGAAATAAGCAAGCAAACATTCTCTGACCCGCCACCCGTTAGGCCTTCATTAAAAACTTATGTGTACAATTGATGATAAATTTTATCTTCTTTAACATTGTACATAATAATAATTTTGATAATATACATAGTTTTGGAGTCATGTCCAAAAAATTAAAAAAAGTTCGGTAATTTCGCTGTTTTTTGCATATATCATATATTAAAACTAAAGATTTTCCATGTCATTAAATCAGTTTTGTTGTTCTGTCTTACATTTTTAGCTAACAATTGAATTACTCTGTTTTTCCCTTGGATCCTTCAAATGTCAAACTGTTTCCTTGATTTATTAAATCTAGAAAAAAAAGGAAGGGAAAGTAGAAATTTAAAATATTCATAAAACAAGCTTCATATTTCCTCTTTTAGAAAGAACAAGGAAGATATTATTATTATAAAAATATATTTGTTAATTGGGATGATGAAATCGGCTGTTTATGTAATTATTAGAGACCAACATTATTCTTATTAATGAAACATTATGAAGTGAACAATGGTCTACTCGGTTCTGGGAGGCATAATTTGCTAATGGTGTAGCTATTATAATTATCTCTCATCAATTATATATATATATAAACTTACAATGGTTCAGTTATTTAAGGTATAAATATTCAACATTGGATTCATGGTTAAAAAATCAAAATACAACTTCCAAATCATTGAGTTTGTCAGTGGTTCGTTTCTATGTGTGAGACGAACACAATTTTACAAATATTTAAATATGAGAAAAAATTAAAGGTTTAAAAGAAACTAAACAACATGTTATGTAGAAAAGAGTATTAAAAATATTCTTCTTAGGAAAAATTCCTGTTAATAATGAAATGTCTCATAGAGTGTTCTCGCTCTTAGCTTTTCGATTATATGGTTTAATTTTTGGTGAATTCGAGTGATACTTTCATCAACAAGTTGTTGTCACACCAAACTGGTCAGTTGATCGAAGCTGTCATACGTCATCATTAGTTTGCACTTTCGTATTCGGAATTTCAAGGCTGTACAAAGTAGTTTTGTCATGGTTTCGATAAACGATGTAATTACATTCTGTCGACATAAATAAAAACATTCACATTGTTAAACTTGTTGACATTGTTTAACTTTACATTTTCATATTTAACTATTATCTGTATATATTGTAATGCACAATAAAATCGCTGGAGAGTGAGAAGAGAAAAAAACCGTAGCATTAGAAAAATTGTTGATCATTTACAATAATACTTGCGGTCTGTTCAATGTTTCCCTTTGTTCCCAGGTTTGAAACTTTTCATTTCGAAAATTCATACAATCAAAATATCATCTTTAAAAATTTTAATTTGCGCTACTTAACCATAAAACCCCCTTATGGGCACTCCTACACACGAGCGGATCTACGGGAGAGGGGGGCTTTGGAGCTGAAACCTCTCCCCCAAAGTGGTAAAATATAACCATGTCTTATGGAAATAAATATTAAAAATTATCTCTTAAAGTGTTGTTGTTCGTGTAATTACATTTAAAAGGACTTTAGGAATCACTTAAACACCATTTCATATGGGTAGTTAGTTTCTTTCTTTTCTTCTTTCTTTCTTTTTATATATATATATATATATATATATATATATATATATATATATATATAGGGTGTTTCAGGGGTTAAGTGGCCAAACTGCAAAAATGAACCAAGGACCTCAAAACAAGAAAAAAAAAACTCTGAAGGTATGTCTACAAACGCTTTGTTTAGGAGATATTCACACCTAAAGATTTTCGTTTTTATGAATTATTTTAGTTCTTACTACTTTATTAATTTAATGTAAATATAAACATTTATATTCAATGTTGTTGAGGCTCGGCATCTTTCTTCAACAGCAGCAGTGGCATAACGGCACTGGATATATGTTATTGTTTCACAAGATTAAATTATCCTTCTTCGTAAGGAATTAAGGTCATCTTTCGGTGTGAATAACGCTAAACAAAGCGTTTTTTTCTTGTTTTGATGTCTTTAATTTTTGCAACCTTCACTTATTCATTTAACCCGGAAACATCTTGTATCACAGGCTACGGCTGCGGGAGAAGGGAGAGCTTTCGGGCTGAAGCCTCTCCAAAAATGATAAAATATAACCATATTTTACAGAAAAAAATATTAAAAACTATCTCTTCAAGTATTCTTGTTCGTTTAATTACATTTAATAGGACTTCTAGAACCACTAAATTTCATATAGGTAATTAATTAATTTCTTTTTTTTCAATTTAATTATCGTTATATGTATATGGAAAAATCTTTCGGGCTGAAGCCCCTCTCCCCCAAAATTAATTAAAGCTACTATATGCTTGGTTGGAGAGTGAATAGACCTTGGAGTAATATTTTTCTATAACTGAATTTTGCAGTTAATGTCCCGAAGAAGTTACTACTTCTATTTATAACCCTCTAACCTTTTGTGACCTCATTATGTCTAGTTGGTTTGTCATCGAATCGAATGCGAAGTTATCTTATAGGTTACATTGTCATTCACAGTCGATAATACATGTTAGAATAACTAAATAAATTTGTTAACTTTATGAAATTGTTCTTTTATAAGTAGTGATGTCCCATATTTATTTCATAAAAATAATATTAAAAAACATATAAAACACAAGTAAGGCTATATATTTTACCTGTTTCAAGATTTTTATCCCACTGCAGCAAAACCACAAATAAATATTAATATTTAGGCTAATATTCACACATTTCCAACTAATGTTATGTTTTCTCTGTATGTGATTTGGGAATTTGGGGATGATTGGATTAAAGAATTTTTGCAATTAAAATATAAATAAGATAGGTATAAAATGAAAGATTTTTTAAAACGATTTATTTCCTTCTAATATTTATTATATTTAATATTTCTGTCAATTTTAATTAAGGTATTATGCGATTTTTCAAAATTATAATGAAATAAAGAGGTTTATCAAAATGAGTTTTAATCTATGAAGTATAGCCGATCTATTCCGGGGTTTGGTTACAGATAATATCCACCTGCTGACTCATCCACGATCAACGATGCTAGTTTTAGATTAAGCAACTATAATATCAATTCTGCTGATTATTAATCATTAGATGCGATTAATTCAATTGTAGCTTAGAACAGTTCTAAACTGTTCATTAGACGAGTTTTTTTTTTTTTTATTAACCAAACTAAATCTTTTAAGACCTAGCCCAGAGCGATAATCAAGGACTAATATTTGCTTACTTTTAATCAGTTTTTCTGTGTTTTTTTTTTATAAAATCAATAAATCGTTTCTTAGTTGTTAAATTGAATGAATGGTTTATTATTTTTACAACTTAGTTGTACGGATCCGATAAATTTTCCTGTTAGTAATTAATATTTTATATTTTTCCTCATTATTTAACATAACTTGGTGATAATTTACAGTGAACAAATCCAAAATCGCATAAAGATAAAGGCACGCAATAAACAAACGAAAGACGGAGTTATAGTGTATTTATTTTGTAAACGGTTTAATTTGTGTTCTGTCCCCAACTATCTTTCATTATTAACGAATTGCAGCCTCTTATTAAATCACTACACATTTCGGAAGCACCTCTAGAATACACAACACCCATTCCCAAATCTTTAATTAATATTCACAGCTCCTCTAATCTAGCTGGTAAATTAGAGAAGAAAAGTTCATACCCACCAATTTATTTGAAACAATTAGCACTAAACACAATCACTGACCGCTACCCAAATTATCTACAAATTTATACAGACGCATCAAAAACTAGTAACCGGACTTCCGTAGCTGTATATGATCCCCAAAAGAACCAGAAATTTTCAATTCCAGTTGATTTCAGTATTTTCAGCGCCGAACTATATGCCATTCTTAACGCCATAATATACAGCGAAAACACATATATCAACCAAAAAATAGTTATTCTGACAGACTCCGCAACGGCATGTAAACACCTAAAATTAATCTACCAAAATACCAAAGCACTGACACACATTTCCTTTAAAATTATATCTCTGATACATAACTCCAGCAACAATTACTTTTTTCAGTGGGTGCCGGGACACGTAGGAATATTAGGAAATGAAATTGCAGATAAAACAGCAAATCAAAACCAACTACACCGAATAAACGCGAAGGTCCCTTTACTTGATTTGATAACAGTAGTGAGGGGGAAAATAATGAAAGACTGGCAGCATTTCTACGACTGGGAATGTGCCTCGAAGGGTAAGGACCATTACGCAGTTCAACCGAAAATAGCACTGATTCCATGGTTTGCGACTCTTAAATCCCATCTCGACCGCTCCAGCTTAGTAAAGCTGACCAGGCTTAGGATAAACCACGGTAGAACAAATAAATATCTTCATCTAATGGGGCTAGCTGAGAGCGGTCACTGTCCAACATGCCAATGCTTGGAGGATCCAAGACACATTGCCTTCAAGTGCAAAAGGTTCGAAAAGCGAAGAAGAATTAGTTTAGGGTCGCAAACTACGGATGATGGAGCTAACTTTCTTCGGTCACTGAACAAAGATAACGCTCGTGACTTGTTAAAGTTCATGAATGGCATCAAAGCAGTCATATAATAAAAGTCGGCACATAGTTTATTGCAATTCTAATTCATCTCAGTTTTTAATCATTAGTCTTGCTAGTTTTCCATAATATCTAATAATATAATATCTAATATCCAAGTCCCATATAAGTCACTTTCAATTATCATCTAACTGTAAATAATTAATATAAATCCAATGTAATTTCCGTCTAAAAACCTTAATTTCATCTCACTATGGCAAAGAAAATATTTTGCTGGCAAAATAGGACTTGCTTTTACAAGTCTTAAAGCCAAAAAAACCCAAAAAAAAACAAAAAAAAAAACGGTTTAATTTGTAAGTTAAAAGTTCAATTTATTCTAGGAAACTATTTAAACAGCGTTTAAAACTATAGGGTAAAGTCTCCAATTATTGAAACTTTAACGATTTTTTTCAAATAATTTACCTTAAACTTATTTATTAATTAACTGATCTGTATGTTTCAAAGTTTTTCATACTGGTCCAAGTCTGTTCTACAGATTTCGCTTATATAATGGCTAAAATACTATATAGTTTTTGAGCCCGAAACAGATGAAAAGTTTTTCACCAATTATTAACATGGAAAAACCAATTTTCGACAGAGAAAGTAATATAGGAAAAAAGTAGCTATTGACACCACATTCAACCATCAAACGAGATTATTTTGAACGAAATATTTGTTATTATTTTGTTATTTGTTAAGGTACAAAATTATCACACATTACTATCGGAACACTTAAAAACTTATTACCTATATATAGGAATCACAAAATGGTATGGATGGTACATTAAATTGAGACTCACAATGTTGTGAAAATAAGGAAGTCATTTATTCTATGAACATATTAAATATATCTTATATTTATATTATTTACTTTTTATTATTTACCAAAATTAAATCAGTTCCTATAATGCAAGCAGACAGATGCTGCTTGAACTGTGGATCCTTATTAGCTGTAGCCCAAATGGCGAGCACAGTACACACAGCACACAGTTTCTGCAAGTGTCCATTTTCACTTCTATTCTTAGAACTTTTTCAACTCCGGACCTAGAAAAACAAGCCAAATGTTCATTCATGGATAAAATGAAACGAAAATTGGACTGAATAGGACTGGAATAAAGTCCTATGAACAGAATAATTTATATTATTGCTTCTAAAAGAAGATAGTATGTGAAAATCTGATAGCAAAACTAAAATATTTCTCTATCTAACAGTGTCTTGCGTAGGTTCAAATCATTCCACTCAGATAGGTGTCAATATTTATTCGTCTCAGGTCAATATCCACTCAAGACACCCTCTCTTGGGGCGTCATTCACGGTTCCTCTCTGTCCCCACTCAGTTTGCTAAATCCCCACGTTCAATTACACACAATACCATATCTATGCATATGATTTCCAAATGTACCTGTCCTTCCCCTCTTCTGTCTTGTTGTCAACCACAAAAAACTTCAAGAAAACTTAAATAAAGTTTATGACTGGGCAGAAGTTAACATGTTGAACTTGAATCAGATTTTT